TGGAGATTCGTACCCTCACCACCGTCCAGACCTTCCGCACAACCCTCAAGACCTGGCTATCCCGTCAGGCCTGGGGATAAGATCACAATCTGCCCCCACCCAAATGAAGAATGAATGTTGTGTACTTTTTTACTCTTATGTATTGTTTTATGTTTATTGTTTATAACCCCCCCCCTCCCTATTTTATGTAAGCCGCCCTGAGTCCCCGCAGGGAAAAGGGCGGCCTATAAATATTAATAAAATATCTAAAAATATCTAAAATATCCACATGGCCCTTTTGGATGCGAGGTAAGTGCGGAGACTCGGGGAGGGGGGAAAAACACGCCTCCTGGAAGTTCTGTTTCCACAGGCCTCAAGAGCCCAGGGGAGGAAGTTTTTGCCCCCCCATTGGCTCAAGGAAAGCCTCCAGAGCCTGAGGAAGGTGAAAATGCCCCCCCCCACTGTGGTGCAGGAGGCCAACTAGACCAAGTCCACCATGGCCACACCCACCCAGCAACTAGACAGAGAACCCGTTGCTGAAATTTTTGAAGCCTACCCCTTTAATAGATGCCAACTGAACAGTATTGTAGAGAAGCCGCATTGTAGTTCATACAAACCTATTTTACAGGCTGCAGAACGAGACTGGGAGGAAAAACGTGCAGCCTTGACCCAATACAGTGCTAAAGACATTAACCGGCTTCTGGAAGAGACCCAAGCTGAGCTGATGAAAGCCATCCCTGATTTGGAGTTTGCGGCCAAGCACAAGCAGTCTTCCAGCTGTGGTGGCAGTGGAAGTGTTGCCTCTACCCCAGAGCACAAGCCTACCAAACCCCAGCATGCACAAAAGTCCACAACCAAAATGGACCCCAATGGTCGCCGGGGATCGGGTAAGACAGACACAAAATTGGGTACAGCTTGTAAGGAGAGGATCAAGCAGGATTGCCACACATCGAGGAGTGGGTTTACCCTGTTGCTTCCTGGACTGCCATCATAATGAAGATCACTCCAGTGAAAGCATATGTTCTAGAGAAGAGAAATAGCTCCCTGAACTCATCTTGTTTTATCCATATACCTAACACTGACAAATAAAGTGTTATTTAAAATGGAAACTGAGTCACAACTGAAACAGACAGAGGAAGATTACAAGAAACGCACATGCCTTTTGGCTAATTCTTGACAGTATTTTAGGGACAATATGGGGTATTTGGTGTAGGGGCCACTGTAGAAAATTAAATTAAAGTTTATGCAGTAACCACACATTTACAAACATAGATCAGCATGGTTGAAGGCCTATCTTATAATACCTGTAGCAAAAATTGGATAGTCCTTTGAGAAATAGTTTATCTTCAACCAGTACTTTATTTATCAGCAACAGGAAAACATGTTGCAGATTTAATTATGAGAAAAGTGTAACCTCAGCTGAATTGTCTCATGTTCTAAACACTGGCAGCCTCATGTAATTCATCAGAAAAGGAATCCATGTAGTTGGTTTAATTAATTGGAATTTTGGAAAATGATTTGTTTTAACTTTTTGCAGGGAGGGATTGAATATTCCTCTTCCCCTGAAAACTTAAGGGGGAAACTTAAGGGGATGGCGAAAGAGAATATATACTTTTTCCATTTTTTAAAAATGTTCCAAATTGCCACTTTAAATGTTTCTCTCCTTAGTTTTAAGTTGTTCCTTTAAAAATGGTCTAACTATTATAGCAATAGCAATAGCAGTTAGACTTATATACCGCTTCATNCACACACACACACACACACACACACACACACACACACATCAGCCACCTGGATTGTTCCTACTTGTAACTTTCCACAGGCAAGTGGCTATTTAAGAGTCTGTATCCAAGTTATACCACTAGTTTACCTCATGGAAAGAGGAAAAGTAGAAGATGAAGGTCAGTAGTCAGGAAAGAATGAGAAATTAACTTTCTTAGTGTTGTATTGCCTTTTATATCATTTCGAGAGAATGGCAACAGATGTCTTTTCTTTTCCCTTTCTCCCTGACGTCAGCGTATTGTCTTTGTGTATCCACAGTGACTTGGAAAAATCTGTAGAGAAGATCCAAAAGGATTTGATGCATAATCACAGATTCATTTCCATACAAGAGCTGGAGGAGAAATCACTGGTGCTCAAACAGTTGGGAGATACCTTGACAGAACTGAAGGGTGAGATGGGGCTGGGTTTGAGATCAGATAAATATAACAAAATTGGAAGAAGTCTATTTCATGGAGAAGAAATCGCACGTGGTAACATTTGGTATCATATTTACCAAGCTCAGCAGTCTTATAAAACAATCATACAAACAAATAAGGAAAGGTCTGGCCCTCATATTCATTTTAGAAATTAAACTGAAAATTTATAGGTAGAATATATTAAGATTGTGCTGTGATTTGGAATTAAAGGCAAAATATGTTTTGGAGGATATACAGGTACCATTTGTTTGCAGTTTCATAAATCAAGCACATCCTTTCCTAAATTTGCATGACAATTGCAGATGATAGTTCTATGATCCCAGGAAAAAACACAGCTGCTTTTGTCTATTGGTGGATGAATGGCCCTTTCTTGTTTACTCTTAGATTCATTCCAGTGTTTCTATTAGTTCATATAACATTCCCTATTCAACAGTTGCTGACTTGAGATTTATTATATGCATGTTTTCACAGCTCTTTATCGTTAATATTTATTAATTACACCTTCATATTAAAATAATGTCTAAGTTCTTTAAAAAGTAACAAACACATCAGCTCACATATTTCAAGAAGTGGGGTTTTTTTTAGAAACAAGGAAATTATATATTCTGTATATGTTTTAGATTTTTCTTGAGTGCAAATTTATGAGGAATCTTTTTTAGTAATTGTCCTCACGCTTGCAATATTTGTTACATACATTATGAACAATCTGGAAGCCATGAGTTTTCCAGGACATTAGTCATGACACTTGTATTTTGAAGCTGGCTTAGACCAAAGACCTGTTAAATCCAATAATCCAACTGTGATCGAGCAAATGCTCAAAGAATTTACTAGTAGATCTCATATGCAATCTCTATAATTTGTGGTTGGTCTCAAGCAATCAGAGATGTCCTGATATTAAAAATGAGGCAACATTTTAAGTTACTATGTGAGCATTGCATTAGATGGAAGTTTCCGGAAGCTAATGCCTCATAAGAAATTCCCCTTTTCACATGGTGAAGTAGTATTGCTTCATTGCTTTTGAGGACTCTTCTGATCATTCTCTTAAGTGGGCCCAGACCCTGGATTCTGCTCCAAATTTCTGCGTCCAGCCTTGCCAATAACTGCTGGTATATTTACAGTAGTCATCAATTTTTCAGTTGTAAATGTTTATAATTATTCAATTTTAAATGTTTACAATTATCTTGTTGCAAAATATCATTTTAAATGTTTTGAACAAAATAGGGGAGAAAGAAAGAACGTGAGAAATGTAATCATATTTTTATATTTGATTGGAAATCAAAGAGAGAAAAGGATAAGGATAATTTATCGTGCTCTTCAGTTTTACATGGTCAGTATATCAAGAGAAATATAATACATTACCTGCTGGAATATGTTATGCTTATTCTAAATTACTTCAATAATATCCTAAATGAAAACCCTGGTTCAGGGTTTCAAAATACATATTGATCCTTACGTTAAGAAGCATCAAGAGGCAAAAAGTACTTTGAATTTGTTATCTTTACAAGACTCAAGGCAGAAAAGTAGACATAGTACCCATCCAGAAGTCCTGGATGTTTCCCTTGTCTCCTTTCAGGAGCTAGTATTGCATAAAGATACAGTCTTTCTTTCAAAACCTGTCTCTCAGCATGACGGTCTCCCAGGTAGAACTCTCATGAGCATTATTTTATGCTCTCCAAATACTATGACAGAAGTACTGTACATACATCACAAGGAGTAAGACCCATTTTCCTTTTTTATGGCATTTGTACTGGTTTGATTGCTGTGTGGATGTGTAGTATGCGCTTACAAGCTTTTCTCTATGTATCTGCTACCTGGAGACAATGCTTCTGTACTTCAGGCAATTGGATATCAGTTTGTAATGCTGCTTTTTAAAAAAAAGAAGAAGAACAAGCCCAATAATCCAGAGGGTAATATACTTTATTCTTTTCTGGTAAATGTCCAAAACATCAATACAATAGAATCAAGAGAAAGATTACAGAAAATCCTAAAGTTTTTCAAGAAATGTAAACAGCAACTATGCCTTTGGTAAATTATCCAAATGTCAGTCTCATTCCCACCATTTCCAAATACTTCCCCCTCCCCTTTCACATTTTGAGTTGTAAATGTCAAAAAGCAGCTTGACAGCATTTTGTTTCCTAACATTTCTCACTGGGCCTTTTATTGTCAGTTTTGCCAGGTTTTTGACATTTACGTGGATAAATCAAAATAAAAGGAAGGTGGTGCAGATATATTTCATGATGTGCCAAAGAGTTTGTCTTGATAAGATATCTGCCTAAATATAGTCTTAGTAGTTTCTGGACCACTTTTTTCTTTATGCTGTGCTAGATAAGTGTATTTAGTATGGTTGTCAGCAATCCACATTGCTGATACCCTAAATGTCTTTCTCCTTCCTTACACATCTTCTGTACCTATATCATATCTGTTTATTCTGTAAGACAAACACATGGTATTTATCCATCAGCAAAACAGTTGTGACTTTGCAAATCCTTCTTCACGCCCCTCATTCCTCAAAACACACTAGTGTTTATTTGGCTAAAATTGACTACTTGCAGGAGGTGAAAGGTGCTGGGATGGGTGTTTAGGCAGAGGGTCAGTGCTGTTTCATTTTTGCCAAACAACAACCAGGAAAAGCCTCATTTCTCACTCATCCTAAGCCTTACCAATCTGCCCTCCTGCTTCCCTACTTGGCTCCATGCCCCCCATTGCCTTCAGTTAAAAACCTTCTTTCAGCCTGCTCTGACTCCCATGCCTCTCGTTTCCTTCTCTGTTCATTCCTGCCATTGCAGCTAATTTTCCCAGCCTGCAGAGCAAAATGCGCGTAGTTCTCCGTGTAGAGGTAGAGGCTGTGAAGTTCCTCAAAGAAGAGCCACATCGCCTGGATGGCTTATTCAAGCGGTGCAAGGCAGTGACTGACACCCTGACAGAAGTCCGCAAGTGAGTGAGCCCTTCTTGAATGAGAAAAAAAAAACTCTTGGGGATAGGCTGGGGTATCAGCATTCCTAAAAGATACTCTTAGCTATCTTGCAAATGTACTAGCATGCAATTTAAGTGTTGTATTTCTGTCCCTTGTATCTTGACTGAGGCCAGATATACTTATTTTGCAAATGGAAATATACAGGGTGTCTGTGGCCTATTCTCTGGGCTGTAAAATTGGAAGACTTCCTTTAACATTTGCATTTAGACCCAAGGCCCTCTTATCACTTGCTGGGGTTCAACTGCCATCATCATCCCTATTACAATCCACTCATGATTGCTTCTTCCTGATGGTCACAGCTTCTCTTGTTCTCACTGATTTCAGAAACCAGCCATCATTCTGTTAATGCTACTATTCATGCACACATGCATGCAGATTCAAAAATAGCCCCTCCAGGCAGACAAACTACAATACATGAGAAGAACCATTTTAGTATATTGCTGTACCTGCAAGCTTCTTTCTGAAATTCCTAACCTGCTTTTAACTCTTCTTGCCATTTTCCTGGTAGGCAAGTAGATGAAGGTGTCTGGGATTCCTCCAGTAACCTTCTCAACCAATCTCCAAAGAAGGTAGAGCTGGAAAGTGACTTCAGCAGAAGCCTGGATTTTGAGCTTCCCACCAGCCCTCCGACGAACCTCCATGACCTAACTTCTTCCACTGACAGCCTAGGCACAATCAGCTTTGGACCAAGCCAAGGGCAGAGCCACGCATCCAAAAGTAGCAATCCATCCCGGGGCTCAGAGATGATTGGTGCCAAGCCCCAAACAGGCTCTGAGATTTCCAGCAAAAAAAGTATGGACAGATCAGTGTCTGTGGAGGTGAGTGCAATTCATATACTTTGAACACACACAAAAAGAAGAATGCTCCTGAATTTGCATTGTTGTTGAATTTGCATTGTCCTTTGACAACTGATAGTCCTTGGACTGATTCAGGGTCTGATCTGAATTTCCAAAATAGCAATAGGAATAGCAATAGCAGTTAGACTTATATACCACTTCATAGGGTTTTCAGCCCTCTCTAAGCGGTTTACAGAGTCAGCATATCGCCCCCACAATCTGGNAATTACTTTTGTCAGATATCTGAACTACTTATTTCAAAAAGCTTTTGAAATTAGGCTGAGGGCTGTCTCAAATTAGGTCAAAGGCCTTGAGTGATTCAAGCCTGGTGAAAATAATTCTGGAGGATTCATTCTGCTTACTGGCTTAAGTTTCTCTTTGTCCGCATCCATTTTATCATCCATATGAAACTACTGGTTTTCTCTGGATGTGAGGTACATATTATGACAATGATATAGTCCCTATCTTTCTCATCCTCCTTTTATCTTAGATAAACAGTTACTATACTGCTGAGGAAGTTGCATAGCTTCCTGGATCTAATCATGCTGATGACTTTTGGGAATTTCTCAGTGTCTTTTTTTTTTTTTAAATTCATCAAATACATGTAACTTGGAGACTATGTTATAATGAGTCTACATTACTTCCAAACCCGGGATTTCAACCTTTCAAGTTGTACCATTTTTGTTTCTTTAATGAAACTGAACCTTTTTTCGGGGGTGGGGGAGGTCCTCCCCACTTTTTATAATTAAAATACTTTTTAGGCATAACTGAAGATTTAGTCAATAGTTTCATTTGTCTGCACATAATTCATTGCATGTAAAAATGATTCTTTTTTAAAATCAAACTGAGACTGTTTCTGCCAATTTAAAAGCAGCTGAAGTTCTACATTATTACAGTTCTATTTTGGTACCTTCCTGATTGCTTTCTACATCCCCAAATAAACCTGTCAAACGATTAAGATGTACAATCTCTGGGGATTTTTAAAACTGGTTTATTACTTACTAGCTTGATTTCATGTTGTTTGTTGTTTATTCTAACACAAAGCACTAGCTTCTTCATATATATGGCCAAAAACAATACAGAGATATTTAAGCTAATTCATTCTAGTGGACTTGAATTTTTCATCATACTAACAAACACATTTACATACATATACATACACACACACACACACACACACACACACACACACA